ATGAATTAAAAAATAAAAAATATACAATCCAAAAAATATTTTTTGTAAAATAATTCATTAAAAATAATACAATTTAATTAACATAAATGATAATTATTACTTTAATTATTTATTATTAATAATAGTTTAAATATTCTAAATAACATTAACTATTAAATGTAAAAATAAGCTTACAAGGATGAAATTTACAATGGAAAGCGTGCCATAGCATTTTGTAAAAAAAAGTAAGATTTTAACTCCGGATGAGTACTTTTCCAGTATTATTCCAGTACTACGTTAGTACTGGTGAGCGGGACAAAATCAGTACTGGACAGCGTTACCAGCCAGGGTTGACCCAGTACGGCAGTCAGTACTGTTATACTGACTGGCAGTGTTGGGTCAGTACTATGCTAGTGGCAGATTTCTACTTGGGTTATAAGGAATTGACATGGTAAATTGACATACGATAATGTTAGAGAAAATTTAAAAGAAATCACATAGGAATTCACATGGTTTTTCAAATAAAAATATACATGATAACTCCTATGTAATTTCCTACATTAAATCCTATTTCATTTTTCTATACGAATTTATATGGGATTTCCATGGCGGATTGGTTCAAACGTATGTTGGGCTGTTTCGCTTAGAATACGCTTAACTTCGTTCAGAGTAAAAATTGATCTATAAATTGTTTTAAAAAATGATATAAAAGTGATTAATAATAGTAAATTAGTGTTTATATAGATGATTTGTGAAAAAATTATGATAAATTAAACATAAAATAAGAAGTTATTAATGTTTAAAGTAATGGCAATAAAGTGTCAGTTTAAGTGTGTTTCATTTCATTAATTTTGTGGAAAAAAATGTAAAATGTGATAAAAATAATAAAATGTTTATTGTTTAATAATGTACCTAAATGTTTTTATTAATTTAAATGTATTACATTTTAAAAAGTAATATCAAAATTTGTCGATAAAATCAATACCCAAGAAGCACGTCATATAACCTTAATATCAAGGTAATATTACATGTAAGATTCGTAATATAACGTTGTAATATTACAGTAATCTTACAGTGATCTTAAAATGTCCGCCTCAAGGTAATATTACCGGTAATGTTACTGTAATATTACGCGCTAATATTAAGGTAATATTACAGTAATATTGCAGTAATATTATACCGTAATATTAAGGTAATATTACAAGAGAATATTACAGTAATATTATGGGAACATTTCTTTACGAAAAAAATCTACCCATCCAGGGAATCGAACCCCGAACTCAAAGCACACGAGTCCAGAGTTTTACCAACAAGCCAAATTGACTTATAATATATTTACGTTTTTTATGCTTTATGAATAACTCAAATCAGTCTGTAATATTACTGTAATATTACCGTTAATGTTACAGTAATATTCCCGGTAATATTACCTTGAGGCGGACATTTTAAGATCACTGTAAGATTACTGTAATATTACAGCGTTATATTACGAATCTCACGTGTAATATTACCTTGATATTGAGGATATATTACGTGCTTCTTGGGTATAGCCGAGCTTTTTAGAAGGTAGGTGGCAGCACTTTTTTCCTTTCTTTAAATTTTTCCTGTATTTTTTTTATCAAAAACAAAACTTTTATTTGTTAAACAGAAAAATTGGTCAAAAAAATGTATTATTCCATCAAAAAAATTAATATTTTAATCAAAAATATTGTTTAAAAAATGTAACTTTTTCATCAAAAATATTGGTAAAAAATTAATTTTTTTTGTCAAAAATATTGTTAAAAAATGAATTATTTTTTAAAAAATATTGGTGAAAAAAATTTATTATTTAATCGAAAATATTTGTGAACAAATATGAATTTTGCTTTTGATAAAAAAAAATACAGGAAAAATTTCGTGAATTTTTTTAAGAGACAGGGATAAATATACTTATTTTTCTGGTAAATTTTATCGGGTCCTATATCGGGATTTTCATTGGGGAAATGGGGTAACTTTGGGATTTCTTTGGGTTTTTATGAAATTTAAAAAAATCTGAAATTCTACATTTATTGCGCCATAATAATGAATATTTATTTTAGTTGAATAATATATACCCACATAGCACCATATTTTGCAGGAAGCTAACAGATAACTAACAGTGTTAAGTTCGGAAATTAAGACGGTTAGTTTCCCGTTAGCTTCCCTGTAGCTCTATATGTCCCCCGCTATTAACTTATCCGTGATAGCTTCCAAAAAGTTATCGTAGTAAGTTTTCTAAAAGAGTGCAAAGAAAAGTTTGTGAAATATTGAATTGTTATTTAACAAGAAGTTTGCTTATTAAGTTTCTTTAAAACTATTTCCGGTAAGTATTCTAAAGATTTTAATGCAAATTTCCATGTAATTAAAAAAGAAAGTTTCTATTGAATTTCATTTAGTACAATTAAAAAAAATTATTTATTTCTACACCTGTGCTTCTGTCACTCTGCTTTTATTAAATCTCTAATAATAACGGAGAAATTTTTAGAAATAAATTTGGAGGGACTGGGGATTGAACCCGGGTTCGCAGCGCAGAAACTCAGACCCTAACCACTAACATAATCGACCAACTGAGGGGAAATAAGTTTTGTGTCCTCTTGAGGTGCAAGTGATCTCATTGGTTGACACATGGTTGCCAACCTAAATGGCGGCTGAACTTAAATTTAAAAAAAAAATGAAAAAACAACTCAATTTATTAAAAAAATATTAATTATTGAAATTTTATTTCTATTTATTAAATTACCAATTTGATAAAATTTAATAATATTTCTCGACAAAAATTTACAATTTCTATTTTTAAAAAATTATTTAACTTCTTAAACATGGTTTATTATTTAAAAATTGATGATTAAAAAAAATTAATTTTAAAACTTTTCATTATTAAAAAAATATTAATAATAAATTTAGTTTATAATAATAATATTATTGTTTATTGTTAATATCAATATTATTAATAATAATAAATTAATTTTATTATTATTATAATTATTATTTAAAATAAATAATAAAATTAATATTAATAACAAAAATACAGTAAATTTTAAATTTTATCAAATTGGTAATTTAATAAATAGAAATAAAATTTCAATAATTAATATTTTTTTAATAAATTGAGTTGTTTTTTCATTTTTTTTTTAAATTTAAGTTCAGCCGCCATTTAGGTTGGCAACCATGTGTCAACCAATGAGATCACTTGCACCTCAAGAGGACACAAAACTTATTTCCCCTCAGTTGGTCGATTATGTTAGTGGTTAGGGTCTGAGTTTCTGCGCTGCGAACCCGGGTTCAATCCCCAGTCCCTCCAAATTTATTTCTAAAAATTTCTCCGTTATTATTAGAGATTTAATAAAAGCAGAGTGACAGAAGCACAGGTGTAGAAATAAATAATTTTTTTTAATTGTACTAAATGAAATTCAATAGAAACTTTCTTTTTTAATTACATGGAAATTTGCATTAAAATCTTTAGAATACTTACCGGAAATAGTTTTAAAGAAACTTAATAAGCAAACTTCTTGTTAAATAACAATTCAATATTTCACAAACTTTTCTTTGCACTCTTTTAGAAAACTTACTACGATAACTTTTTGGAAGCTATCACGGATAAGTTAATAGCGGGGGACATATAGAGCTACAGGGAAGCTAACGGGAAACTAACCGTCTTAATTTCCGAACTTAACACTGTTAGTTATCTGTTAGCTTCCTGCAAAATATGGTGCTATGTGGGTATGCATTATTTTAATTACTAGAAATAATAACTAGATAACCCCAACAGCAGCGGATATTTTAGAATATTCTATGGACGTCCTATTCGTATCCGAAAATTTGGATATCTCTAGGATGTTGTCAAGATATTTATGGATATCCCTGAGACATCCAATTAGATATCCTACTTTCTGGTTATCCCTAGGACATCCGTTACATGGCAAATTTTTTTTGAGAAACTTAACTATAAATTTAATTCTGATTAGTGTCAGTGGCCAGTTATTGCATCAATAAATGATTACACAATGTTCCAGTGCATTATTGTCGAAAATTTTATTCGTGATAAAATTACTTTACTACAGTAAAAAAAGAATCATCTTTTTATAAGACACGTGAATCCTACTTAAAATGTCGGATAAGAAACGTACACAAATGTCAGATTACTTTTTGAAGAAGATCATTCAGAATTCGGACAAAAAGAGTACAGCTTTCGGACAAGACCCTAAAGCTGCAGATATTTTCGGATGAGTATCTTAAATGTCGTTTTTACAATTCCAAATCTCTTAACCAGATTAATGTCCGGTTTTTATCCGACATTTTAAACAGGGAAGCATGTGACTTTCAACTTGTTTCAATACATTAACATAACATTTTTAAATACACCTATTATTTTTAAGAGAAGACAAACATTAAGATGTTTCATTTTGTAGCGTAGGAAAAAGATATTGTTTTCTATTAATAAATAAATAAAACAGTTAGGTAATCGAATAAATGAAAATAAAAATTGTGTACTAAAATATTTGTGCATAAAAAATATTAATATATATCATGAGTCTTCTAAAACCTAAACTTGTTTTCTTAATCATAATTAACAATATCTTTTTTCATTAATAATTACTTTGCGCTATTACTAGCACAATAATGTGCACGTGAGTTTTATTATTATTGTTGAATCATTCAGGAAATTAGAAGTGCTAATTAATTCGTGATATAGAAAGTAAATTTTTCAAAAGATAATTATTACTATTACTATTATTACTAGACTGCACATTATATAGCACGTGTTTCAATAATTGTACCTATTTGTTTAAACTGATCTTTTTGCTCTGGGATGCTAAAGGAATCGAGGATTAATTTTTTATTTTTTTCTAACTAATTAAAATTAATTTCATTATCGTTTTTAATGTTTATATCTTTTTGCACTAACTTAAATATTTAATAAAAATTAAAATATTTTTTCCTGTTTCTTTTATTTATTAATACTGTTAATTATTTTAGTTCATAAATATTTCTAATGTACTTACCAGTTGGTTCTGGTATTGCCTGCGGTGTTCGCCTTCTACGACCTGAAAAAATATTAAACATTTAAATAAATAATTATTAAATAAAGATAAAGATTAAGGAAATAGTAATAAGGTGTACAATTAATAAGTTTCTAACAGCTTTTTTTAACTGGAATAAAATATGTAAATTTTTGTTTAAACATTAGTAAGAGTGCAAATATGTTTTTTAATTGGGGAAGAATTTCCGCATTTTATAACGTGGTAAAACGGAAAAGAAAAGTAGAGCGGAACTAAGGAAAAGTTCCTCGCGTGAGAACTGAGAGTAATGCTGAAGTTGTGTTTACAGCTACTTTCTATGGTGTGCTCGACTCAACGCCCAAGAAAATCTTAACTTTAACAACTACCTATTCTAAATACGGTCATTAAATTCTATTAATTCGGATATAAAGGTATAAAGGCGAAAGTGGTAAAGCACAACTTCCTTTTTTTCATGTTGTGAAAGAAAAATCACAAATAATGTTCACATAATATTTCGATTCCAATGTAAAAAGGTAAATTCTGTGATTACAAACAAAAACCAATAGATACTTTTGTATTTAACATTACAATTTTTCGTGAAAAGTGGGTTTTAAGGCTGAAAACGTCAAAATTTGACCTGTCCCCACAGGATGTTTAAACAAAAAAGTTAATATTTTTAGCAATGTGCACTAATAAATACAATTACTGTTGAAATTTTAGTATTGTATATTTTAGTGGAATTGAATAAAAAAAAACGTTTGGTCAAAAAAATAATTATTTTCTTTTTTTTTTGCTATTTATGCTTGACTGGACTTTCGTGTGTTATTCTGCTTTTTATTATTAAACATTGAATTATTTAAATAAAAGTCAAATGTTAACATAGTTCTACTTCAGTAACAGCAAAAGTTACATTCCTTAAGTTGAACCATGAAGAAAGTGATCAATTTTATAATTGATTTATCATTTTTTTTACACATTTCAAGATTCAAATTTGTACAGGGCATCACAAAATCGTCTCCACCGGCATCCACCGACCCTTCACTATTTCAAAAAAAAAGAAAATAATTAAATAATAAAGGTTAAATAAAGTGCAGTTATATTATTGTAGTCCATATAAAACATACGAAACCGATTAAAAATAAATGATAATTTTCTAAAAAAAAAAAAAAAAATTATTAACGCCAAATAAATTTTTATAAATTACTATATAAATTTTCATAAATTACCGAAATAAAAATTTTAATTGTCGTTCGCGCTATATATATTTTTGTAAATTACCGCGAAAAATTCCGTAAATTACCAAAATTAAAATTTTTAATTGTAATTTATGCTTTACATATTTTTATGAATTTTAGACAAAATTTTTATAAATTACCGAATAAATTTTCATAAATTACCTCAAAGATTTCGGTAAATTACCGAAATCAAAATTTTTAATTGTCGTTTGCGATATATATATTTTTGTGAATTACCCCAAAAATTTCCATAAACATTTTAAATCAAATTTCAACTATTTTATAGAATACAAAAAAAAAGAATTTTTTTAAATTTATTTAAAAAAGTTAAACAATTATAAAAAAAAATTTCAGCCCACCATCGATATTTATTTCTTAACACTTTATCTTGATATTTACCATTTCCATAAAAAAATTTTTAAAGTTTCAGACACCAAATCGTACACTACGCGGAGAATCACCCATAAATATGTAATAATGAAATTTAATAATTAGTAAAATCTAAGTTGACATTGTGTTACAGCAATTGTAGTTAAATGTTATTTGTAACTGCGTGAATTATTAGTTAAATTAGTTGTAATTTATAGCTTCTTTTGATGATAAAAGAAAACAGTATATCTGGTTATTAACTATTATCTCTCATATCACTCATCTCAGCAACTGTCTTTACTTAATTTCATTATTCAACTATCAAATCGCACTTATGGATTAAAATATTTTTAAAATAAATGCTCACCTTGCTTTGTGCTGACGTGGAATGTTACGCTAGTTTGAACAGTGACATCAGACTCAGGTCTCCGAGTAGCGCCATCTACTTTAGCTGATCTCCTTTTAGTTCCACCTGATCTAACTGAAGCAGATTCAGGTTCAGCTTCTGGCTCACTGTTTAGTGCTGGAATATTGGGTTTATAAAGACTTTCTCTTGTGTGTTTTCTGACAATTGGTTTGAACTTTGGTTCCACTGAAATTCTTGTTTCTGCTTCTGATTTAGGTTCTGGTTCGGATTTGGGTTCCAGTTCTGCTTTTGGCTCAGTCTGAAATTTGGATTCGGGTTCTGAAGTAGGCTCTGGTTCTGATTTTGGTTCTGGTTGTGGAAGAGGTTCTGCAACGACATTATCGGAGGGACGATCTTTAATTTCTGGAAACGCTTTACAAGCAGGTGTTAAAGAACTAGGTCTCCATCCAACGCCAATCCATGATGTACCATTCACCACTGCAACTCCTTCAAGTTCGTGAGTGTCCTTGAGTATCCTCCAATAAAATGTAAATTCGTCAGAGAATTTCTTCTTAGTATAAGATTGCAAATCTATATCTGTGTTTCTAACGGCTGATCCTGGAAAATCAAATTATATTATCAATTTTTTTTGTACTGAATTTTATTACATGAATTACTTATGAAAATAATTTTAGATACACGCTAAAAAATTTATGAACAGTTACATAGCAAAAGTACAATATTTATAAAATAAGGAAATCTATTTAATTTTAGATATATTTTATATAGAAATAATATATTTTTCGATGATTAAGATTTTTGAAAATTACGAAAATGAAGAATTCGACTTTATCAGCAAAGTGACATTTATTAGATGTCCTTTAAACTCCTTGGTTCAGAGTTAGGTGTTTCATGTGATAATTATATCGATACACTGAAAAAAATAGTATTGAACCAAGAAAATTTTACTTAGTTCAAGAAAATCGTGGGACTCCTATGAGTAAAATATTTTCTTGTTCTAAGAATATCTGTAGTCAAATCAATTATTGCATTTGATTCATTAAAATTTTTGTAATGTTGGTTCAAGTAAGTAGATTTAAATCAAAATATTATTTACATTGTCAGAAGAACGCATGTTTCTGGCCCAAGAAAATATGGAATTCGTCTAAGAAGTTTGTTGACTTTTAAGAAATGTAAAATATATTAAGTCAAGATCATATATATATATATATATATATATATATATATATATATATATATATATATATATATATATATTAAATCAAGAAAATATTTTCTTGACTTGAGAAAACTTATGGAGTTCAACCAAAAAAATATTTTTCCAATACACGTAAATATTTACTTGAATTACCCCCTTCCCCCTACTACACCCCTTCCTCATCCCATCATGTCTAATTCTTAAGTCAAACATTTTTATTTATTATTATTAACATTCATATTTTTTATTATTTATTTAAATAATGTTTATTTTACATACATATTTATATTTAATTAATACTTAACACAACTTAAACAAGTATACCTTGAATGAAAATTTGTCATGGTCCGAGGAACTGAACCCGGGTTGTGCGCACCAGAAGCAGTAACGTAGACCACTATGCTATCCTGACCCAATTGACGGTTTTCAAAAACTTCTATTTAAGTTTCATATCCATTTGGAGAGAAATATTTTCTTGGATCAAGAATACGGGATTTTTATTGAGTAAAAAATTAATTCAAAGCAAATGAATAAAACTATTTGATTCAAGAAATAAAAATTCTTCAGAAAATATTTTATTATTTTGCTCAAGAACATAATATTCTTGATTGAATACTTTTTGGTACTTCGGGAAAATAAATTATAAATTATAAATAAATTCTGCCAAATACTAAATTTTTAATTCAAGAACTATGCGTTAATCAAGTTAAAACAAGTATTTACTTATATTAATATTCGCATTGTCTTGACTCAAGACTATATTAATGTTGAATTAAATAAAAAATATTTCCAAGGAAACAAAAGAATGATTTCATTCAAGATTATATCACTATTTCAACTGAAAAAATAAATTATTTTATTTAAGATAATATAATATTATTTCTAGAAATTAAATGTTCTTGAAACAATATAATATGAAAATGCTTCAAGTATATTAAATACTTGGATTGATTAATGTTTAATTCAAATAATATATTTTTTAATCAAGTTGAAACAAGTAACTACTTCTATTAATTTTTCCATTTTCTTGGATCAAGACTATAAGTATTAGATTAAGTAAAAAGTTGTTTTGAAGGAAACAACAAAACGATTTGACACAAGAAAATAAAAAACTCAACGTAAATCACTTGACACAAGAAAATAATATCCTTTACTCAATACTTTTTCGGTTCTTGACGCAAGTAAAACAGTTCGCTTGAAACAGTAAGATATATTTACTTGTATGAAACTCTTATTTTCTTATTTCAAGAACATTGCTCAATGCTCAAAATTACTTGACTCAAGAAAATAAATTTCTTCCAATAAGAAAATATCGCCTTGTTTCAAGTAAAGTATCTCAAGTAAATGCATTTACTTGATTCAATTAACTTTTTTTTCAGTGTATGATTTGTCGACAAATAATTATCAATTTTTAAAATAATTTTGTTCTGAAAAAATAAGCTGCGTGCTCGAGTACACTGTGCATCTGCGAGGACTCGAACCTCCTTAGTTGCCGACTAATGCACCATGCCAACACAGCCTGAACGACCAAGTCTCTTATATTCTCAGATCAAGCCCATAACTAGTCAAGAGCTATAGTTAATGTTAAATATATTTTATATAGAAATACTATATTTTTCGCTGATTAAGATTTTTGAAAATTACGAAAATGAAGAATTCGACTTTATCAGCAAAGTGACATCTATTAGATGTGCTTTAAACTCCTTGGTTCAGAGTTAGGTGTTTTATGTGATAATTATATCGATATGATTTGTCGACAAATAATTATCAATTTTTGAATTAATTTTGATCTGAAAAAATAAGCTGCGTGCTCGAGTACACTGTGCGATATAATTATCACATGAAACATCTAACTCTGAACCAAAGAGTTTAAAGGACATCTAATAGATGTCACTTTGCTGATAAAGTCGAATTCTTCATTTTCGTAATCTATTTAATAGATTAATTATAACGTTTAACAAGTTTAAATACATGTTTAATCTAAAATAGTCATATTACTATATTAATTTTCTTAAGGAAATTGAATATCTCCTATGATAGTGAAAATAAATACTGTTTCATAGATATTGTATTTATATTCTATTCATAATATATGTATATTTAGTATAGTTAAATCTCATAGAAATCATCTCATAATCGGAGAAACAAAAAAGTTCGAATTAAGGGTAGGTTTTTATTGCGGATGTTCAAAAAATATAAAGAAAATGTTTTTTTGAGTTTTTAAAAGCTATAATTGTGAAGCGTATGTGAGTGAAGTGATTTTGTGATCTGAAGAATATTTTCGTTTCTACTGGGTCTTGAACTCTCCGGTATCCTGTATGCTAAGTGACAAGAATTATTTGAATAGGATGATCATTTTTGTAATTTGTCTGTCATATTGGATCCGCTATTTTGAATTTTATAAATCTGACTTCGGAATCATGATCAGGGACCAGAAAAACCTATTTAATAAAAAATGTTTCGAAATCTTTAAACGCGTATTTCTCCAAACAATATTTTTTAAACTGGTTAGCATCGGGTTTGCGGATAATTAAATATAACTAAATTCTGCTGGGGTTATACCTTATAATATGGTACAATTGTTAACAATAAAGCTTTTTACCTAATGTAGACAAGACCAAGGTGGAGCCCAAGAAAAAATTGTGTAGGATTCCCTCAGTTTATTTAAGAATTTTAAATTCCGATTTGAAAATTTAGCATTAACCTAAATATGGTCTAGGAGAGAAAACAACAGGCATAATGTCAATTAATTTTTATTTACCAATGCGGGGTCCAATTGACGCCAAATTTATTTTTCTTCATATCTCAAGATAAGTCCATTTTTCAAGAAGGCGCATAATTATTTTTTTCTTGTAGCAGTGCATCAATAGAAGATAAGGCTAAATTTTACTCTCTTAATATTAGAAAAATCGGACAAGTGCGAGTTACACTCGCACTGAAATCGAGGGTTCCGTACACGAAGCGAACTTATTTGGTATAAAAACAAATGATTAATAAATATAAGTTTTGTATATCAAATAATGTAAATGATACAAGAAGGAACAATTTTGAAAAAAAATTTAAGAAAATTGTTCCTCTTCGTATTACTTACATTATATGATATACAAAACTTATATTTATTAAACTTTTGTTTTTGTACCAAATGAGTTCGCTTCGTGTACGGAACCCTCGATTTCAGTGCGAGTGTAACTCGCACATGTCCGATTTTATTTTCAATTAAAATAATCATTTTTTTAAATGGGAGAAGAATATCGAATTAAAGAAGAAAGAATAGGAGAAAGAGAAAAATAAATTAGAAAAAATTAAATAGAACAGAGAAACGAATAAAAAACTTATAGGAAAAGTCCACTTTTTTCAAAAAATTTTCTTTTTCGAAAAAAACTTTGTTAAAACAACTTCTTTTCATGTTTGTTAAATTATCTCTATAATCTACACATACCTAAATATGCGTGAAAATGAATAAATATGAAGCCCTTTAGATAAAATTTTCTTCGTTATTGGGAGAAAATTCATTGCTCATTAACTCCACACAGGTGTCTGGAAGGAAAAAAATGTTCACTTACGATGCCAAAAAAAACCATTGTTACCCTGTGGTTCCTTATTAGCACCCCTTGAAAATAAAAAAATTAACCCGAAAATCGTAGCTGTTCATTTAGAGAAGTTTCACCCCTTTCTAGGAGTGATTTTGAAATTTTTCTAAAAAATTGTTTTTTAAGGTTCACAAATAGGTTTTAAATTATTTTAATGATATTTATTTGTGTGAATGTGTTTGTAGGACCTAATTTTCTATATACAAGCGATTAAAAAATTTTTTAATAAAAAAACTAAAATTCGTAACTTTTCTTTTATATAGTTGACGATTTTGGATAATTTAATTAACAGTAAATTTTGATTTTTTGGAAAGTTAAAAATGTGTATTTTCACTACAAAACATATTAAGATGTCCTTTTTTGTTATTTTCGAAATATTAATTAATGAATTATTTAATGTTAATAAAAAATGCAATATTTTATAAACAAATAATGTTATCGTAATTCTGACGTTACTAATTGAAAGCTGACGTAATTCAGCACCCAACGAGCCTAATATGAACTATTTTGAATTAGAGGGATTTTCATAAACTATTGCAATGTTATGCGATTATTTATTAACAATCCACTAATCCAAAATTCTTCATATAGGGCTCGTTGGATGCGGAATTACGGTAGCTTTCAATTGGTAACGTCAGAATCACGATAACTTTATTTGTATATAAAATATTTCGTCTTTTGTTAACATTAAATAATTAAATAATTAATATCTCGAAAATAACAAACAAGGACATCTCAATATTTTTTGTAGTAAAAATACACATTTTTAACTTCTCAAAAAAATCAAAATTGACTGTTTAAATTTTTTA